AGAGGGAGAGAGAGATAGAAACATGAATGATGAGAGAGAATCATTGATAGGCTGCCTCCTGCACACCCCACACCAGGGATCGAGCCTGAAACCCAGGCATATGCCCCGACTGGGAATGGAACTGTGACCTCCCAGTTCATAGGTCCATGCTCAGCCACTGAGCCATGCCAGCCCGGCCACAACCTCACTTTAATTTCAAGATGTGTCCTTGGCCTTGAGAATCTATATTAATAATCATATAAATAGCTAATATTTTTTTAAGCTCTTTCTAGAGGCCAGGCACTGTGATAAGTGCTTTACAGGCATTAATTACCCCATTTCATCAGCCCTGAAGGAGTTTGCCATGATTGTTCCCATTTTGTAGAACAGAAAACCGAGGCATGGAGAGGCCAGGTAGCTTTGTAACCTGCCTGAGTGCACACAGTTATCTGAGAGTTCGCTGGGTTTGCATCCAGGTATATCTGATTCTGAAGGCTGTGCTCTTCAATGAAAACCTAACATTTCCATCTGACATAAGGTTGCCTCTCACCCAACAGAGGGCCAAGAAAAAGAAAAAGAAACAAGCAGCCGAAGAACACCCTGATGAGGAGGTGGAGGAGCCATCCCCTGGGGAAGGTCCCGTGAAACCCATCCCCCCGGAGCCCACCCAGCGGGCAGTGCTGGAGCAGCAGGTGCGGGAGAGAGCAGCCCGGAGCAGGAGGAGGCCTGGGGAACCCACACTGGTCCCAGAGCTGAGCCTGGCCGGGAGTGTGACACCCAATGACCAGTGTCCCAGGTAAGGTTGACAGGTGATGCACAGACATACCCATGCACATGCACATACATACACCCGGTGTGGAATGTGCATCTCCTGTACACCCCCTGACCATCACCATGCAACCAGGAGAATCGTTAACTCTCTGCAGACATATATTTGATTGAACCACATGAAATTGCTGATATTTGTCCATAGTTTGGTGACTCACTGTGGTTCACCTCCCTAGTTAATGCATCCCTGCTGGCTTCCCAGGAACCCAGTACATGAATCTGCCCCTAGAGGGCGCTCTTCGCAGTTGCTGCCTGCCTGGCTTTTGATCTGGAGCCTTTATCTGTAACTTCACTGCGTTTTCTGTCCATCGGTAGCTGCCCCCTCCAGGGCACAGACACCCAGGTCTCCCCTCAGCCCTTGATTTCAGCCACTCCAAAAGCAAGCTTTACCCTTTTCTGGCCTTGCAGAGCCTCCCAAGGGAGTTGTGGATACTAAGTCAGGCATCTGAAGCCTACCCTTTCCTTAACAAGCTAGAGTTGCCATTGACTTAACCAACAATCGGAGTTTTGGGTGGGCATCTTTGCACATATACATAATAAAATTAATGGCCACTCTTGTTGGTGTTGATATATTTTTTTAACTTCCTGGCTTTAAGAATAATATACTTCCTAAGGATACCTTTTGGGGGGGATTCAAATGACCTTTAAAAATAAGGGACATTTCTCAATCCCCTGCATGCAGTGAGCCGTCACTCACTATTGGAAAGTGTTAAGAAACAAATCAAACTAAACAAAAGAAACAAGCAAACAAAACCAGCTTGAATCTCAGAGAAGCCAATGTGGCCTAACTGCAACGATATGCTGTTATATTTTTAGGATAAAATGTCCCCCCCAAATATAAATCACTGCCCTTATGGTTTGACTTCTCTCCATTTAAGAATTGATGTTTCTGTTTGCTTAAAGCTTTGGGACACAAATGTAAGGCTTGTTTGAAAAACTTTAAGGAAACTATTGTACAGCGATACTTGGACCTGGTTCTTAAATCCTGATGACCTTTCCGGCCTCCTCCTCCCTATCACAATCACAATGCTTTATTATAGAAGCTCAGCGAGACCTGGAGTCCTTTGGGTTCAGTGAGGGCTAACGTGACTGGCAGCACCGCCTTCAGCATATCTTGTCCTGTTTGGTGTCCATCCGCCAAGCACTCCCGTTATCCTCAGTCCATGAACACCAGCCTCACCTGCCAACGGTCTCCCTTTGCAGGGCGGAGGTCTTACGAAGGGAAGATGTCAAGAGGCGCTCGGTGTATTTAAAGGTGATCTTCAACGGCAAGGAGGTGTCCAGGACTGAAGGGCGGCCACTCGGGGCAGACTTCCGAGTTCACTTTGGACAGATTTTCAGTTTGCAAATAGTCAACTGGCCAGAGAGTTTAACGCTGCAGGTACGCATTGCAATGATAGTCACCCTCCTAGGAATATCATGGTCATCGCAGAAACAAGGCAGTTGGAAGTCACCCATTCATTGGCTATGCCAGTTTGGACAGATTTTCAGTTTGCAAATAGTCAACTGGCCGGAGAGTTTAACACTGCAGGTACGCATTGCAATGATAGTCACCGTCCTAGGAATATCTTGGTCATCACAGAAACAGGGCGGTTGGAAGTCACCCATTGGCTATGGCAACCTCCTGGTAGGTTCTCAAGGGTCAGCCTCCTCCTGGACATGTCTGTGCTTAAGGCAGTGGTTCTCAACCTTCCTAATGCCGCAACCCTTTAATGCAGTTCCT